TCAAAGAATAATTCTATATTGGCATATAATGGTGAGATTTCAATTTTCTTATCCTTACCCAGTGACATTACCAATACTCCCTTTATCCATTCTGTCCTTTTTAGTCATTTTCTGCATATTCCTGATGGTAAAGGCCAAAATTTGTTTAAACAGAACTTTATAATTCTTAACCTATAATTTATATTAGCTAGTTTCAGTACTCAACATATTTTGTACATTTAAAAAAAAAATCAATATAAAAGGTATTGTCAGTGATCATGAATTCAAACAAGTGTGTGTGTGTGTGTATATATATATATATATATATATCAATTCTTTTTATTGTTATTATGCATTTTATTTACATGACCAAAAACATTACTTTATATACTCTTCATAGGTATTTACTAAACTGAACTTGTAACTAATCAGAAGGGACCTTAATGCACATGCATGAATAGACACTCTCGGGGGATTACACAGCAGTGAGATGCCATTGAGCAAGTTTGTATACAATGTGACCATCATATTTACAAGTGACCAAGTGCGGGATTTTCTTAGCAAAACATCACTTCAGCGTACAACCCATACAAGCTCTGGTTTTCTACAAAGCTAAAATTAATGTTGGGATGTCATGGATGAGATTTAGGTGAAAGCAACAAGGCAGATGATGAAAAGAGGACTTTGGAATAAATGTGAAATCTTAAAGTGCTATTACCCTAGGTAGGCTACTTTTTAACTGATTCATTCCAAGACAGACATATTTAAAATTGTGGCTTTGAACTTTTTTGCATTTTCTCTTCCATCCCTCATTCATATTTTTAATTGTCATCTTTTTTTTTCTCCTTTTGACTTAAGGATTTGGAACTTATTGAAGACAATTGGCAAGCTGAAGTTAAGGAATTGTTGCAGACCATTGAACATTTGCAGCATGAAAACAAACAGCACCGGCAAATGCAAGAGACAATGGAGGAGCATAAGAAGGCTGCAGTGGCTGAGGCTCTAGCTGCTTCGAAAAGTAAGTAATCAAAGAAATATTTTTTCTTCTATAGCTCAATAGTACCTTAATAAAGAGAAGATATTTGTTGAATAAACGTTGGCAATCTGACTCTAGATGAACTTAAATGCTGTCTGGCCTAACCCCACCCCCTTAACTGCTAAACTTTTTTATATACTTTGATAAATGGCATTTTTTGTTTAAGACGTTTAATTGAAATATTTTACTAAGGAAAGATGAGAAACCATTAACAGACTTCCTTTTTCTTCTGTTACATTCATGGTTGTGCCACTGAATCCTTGTATGTAAATCTTTAATTGACACTGAATAATCATAGCGTTCAGGGGAAAAAAAACTGTTCATATTCATTTAAATAACACTTCATTTTAAGCAACAAAAAAAAGTTTTATTAAGATGCTAAACTCTATTTTTGTTTTATTTTGTCAAAAACTGTTACACAATTAAATAATCTATTAAGAAACCTATTCTAATACTTATTGTTTATTAGCATGTTACTCATAAAAAATGATTTGATTATTTCCATATGTAATTGTGCCTAGAATCAGAGTATCATTGAAATCTATTTAAGATTAAAGTGTTGCTCTCCAGCACTTCTGAATAGGATCTGGGTAAAGTATTTTATATATATATATATATATATATATATATATATATATATTTGGGCAGCAAAGTTTCTTTTAAACATCTTTCATTAAACATGCCAGACAAGGAAAGTTTAATTAATTTTTTTTAGTCTTTCCAGCAATTACACAATGTGACTTGTGAACTTGTCACTGAAAATTAGTTTTTATACACTAATGACATTCTTTTAAAAGGTCATCTTTTAATTATTGAAATTGTAAGTGTACAAATAGCAAATTACGAGTTAGTATTATTTTTCATTTGATATTTTAAGAGAATTAAAAAATAAAATTGAGAAAAGTTGGTTTAAGATGGTGTAAGCTTTGCAGTTCATGGAAGAAGCTGTCAGGAACAATTTTCTTGGTTTCTTTAGCTAGACAAGTATTATAAGAACAAATTCTTTGAATCAATAAACTTTAAATCAATATATAATAGAGAAAATGCCCATCAAGATTAAACTTTGAATCATCATCATCATCATCACCCCCCCCCATGATCTGGTGTGGTTGTAAGGAGTAAGCCCCCCCCACACACACACACACACTGCACAGCTGAGCACTTGACTAGTTCTCTTCACATGTCTGCTGAAAGCTGGAGCTATTCATGCATATGTCTCCAGCAAGTAGATCTGACGGAACCCATCCCTCTCCAGGTCAGATCATAGCTGATAGCTTCCAACCTGAAGGCTTGCCTTGGTTACTGATGCGTAGCTGTTGGTTCCACCAGGGGAACACTTTGCCATTGACCTCAATCTAAGAAACCCTCTGCCCAGTGATGCCATGTAAATAATACAGCATATTTAAGATGAATATTGGGAATTTAACATTAAACTTTATTCTTATCAAAATTCATGTTTGTATTTGCAGTTAATAAATATTCTTATTGGAATATAGGATATTTTTAATATGAAAAATATTAATAAATTGTTTTTAGTAATTCAACTTTTAAAACAAAATGGATCCATATAGTAAAAAATGTTTTTGAATAACAAACTTTTATCTATTTGATTTTTTTAAAGAAATAATTGTACTTAACTTTTTCTTTTCCCTCTAATATATATATATATATATATATATATATATATATATAGAGAGAGAGAGAGAGAGAGGTTGGGAAAATGTTTACTTTCAGATGTCAACTTCGTTTAAATTGAATATAAAAACTGAAATCATTGTTAAAATTTGATTAACAGTAAAGATTATTATTCTGCTCACATAAAAAAAAAAATGATAATCACATTTTATTTGTAATGAAGGCATTTCCTAAAAGAAATATTTTCAAATATATAGGCAAGAATTCCTTCACGTATCTTGCAGATTTGTAAGAAGCAATAAAAGATGATAGGAAATAGAATTAGCTTGAATTCTTCATTGTTCTGTAGAAATGAGAAAATGGATTCTTCCCTAATAAAAAAAAATGGTTCACTAACTTAGAATATATAAAATCGAATGATAAACATGAACTTGATATATATTTAATTATATGAAAATATTGAATATCCATTTTTTTAAACTAATTTCATTAATTTTTCTATATATTAAACATAACCAAGCAACAAAAATTGATGTATTTATTATTTCTGTGTTTATTTCAACTTGTTTTACTGAATTGTTCTAATCTGAGTTTAATCTAAATTAAGTTTAATCTGATTATGAACTATCATCTATTATTATTATAATTTTTTTTTTTTTTTTTTTTTTTCAAAATTACATGGTTATAAAATATTCAGGATGTAGAATTGAAATTTAGCCTGGCTGGCCATTTTTCTTGATCCAATATTCAATAATTTGGCATATTGAAAACTGATCTATTCAGACTGTCATGTTGTGCATCCAGTGTTTTGATCGTCTTCACATGCCGAAGAATTTTTTTTTTTAATAGATTTCATTTTTTGTATAATGTAAACAGCTAATATGGGAAACTGAATTTCAGTGCATTAATGTTCTTAATAAAGGCATGAATCTCTCTCTCCCTGTACTGTCCTTTTGCCAAATGTCTTGAGAAGTCTCATCACTAGCATGATATTGAGTGTAGTCAGGTTAAACATTTTTCAATACTACAGGAATCATGTCACCTAGTACTACTAATACTGTTACATAGAAAGTAAACAGATGCTACCAAGTAACTACATTTGCTTCAGAGATGCCATGAAGGACCCACCCTAGCACCCTAGATTGTGAGAGTGCAATTCTCTTTTGGCTACTAGTGCCATGTAAACTACTATTATCTGTCTGATCTTAATTACAGACAAGATGGGCATCATGAAGAGATTCAATAAAAAAAGCTCAGTATAGCATTTATTATCTCTTAAATCAGGAAATTAATGAAAACAAAAAAATTAGGATAATATGATAATCGAGCTAATGATGTTTTTTTTTTTCTTAAATTCTCTAAAGTTGAGTGTGAAAAGACACACATGTAGATGTGCTTTTGACTTTGTATTTCATTGAATTCTCAAGATATATTTTTAAAAAATATTATTTGAACATGGAGAACTCTAAGACTGGCTTTTTATATTCTGTATGAAAATAAACGTGTGATTGAAAAAAAAACCAAAAGATCTGCTCAACTAACCAATATATCATTCCTCCATTACAGCTGTAGAAAACACTGCTTTGTTTTCAGCATCATTTTTGTATGTTGTTTATTGTGCAGATATTGCTTAATTCTTTGCTTTTTTTGATGTGCCCATTGCATTGTGGATTTGACTAAGTACTGCTGTGACAAAAAAAAAATGGTTGTATGTCCTGCTTCTTCACTTGCTGTGTGCATGTATTTTCTTTCTTGCTTAAATCTTGCTTTGTTCCTGCACATTCCCTTCATTTTATTTTTCAAACTCTTATCTTTGTTTTTGTTGTGTACGTTATCTCTAAAGGGCTTTTTTATCCAATGAGAAGATATTCCATTACCTCATCTACTGTTACTTGAAAGTTCAAAAATGAAAAAGAAAGAAAAAGTTACCCTTATTATATACTAGCAAGACTATCTGATATAAAACTGTTCTTTTCTTCTTTTTTTTTCTTTTTTTTTATTACTTTTTGAGACTGAACTAATACTATACTAATAGTTGTTTTATTTAGTACATCAAGAATCATTCATTACAAGAATAGAAATTAATTTCCTGATGATACTGTAAGTTTTTTAAAAATTCAATTACTACTTTTTACCAATTGTTACTTTATTTGTAATTTTGTAACCATGGTAAGGTAATGGACATGGAATTTGTAATTTAATTTGATTATACTAATGCTTTTTATTTTCCTATAAGAAAGCGGGGGATCAGTTTTCTTTTGTTATTTAGTAAACTGATCTCCCTTTTCAGGTTCATATGCTTAGTCATTCAGTATTTTATTTTGTTTTATCTAATTTCCTTCATTGGTCTTATGGCCACATCATATTGAAACACTGGTTCCTGTATGATCACTGAAGTTAAGCAACATAAGACCTGGTTAGCCCCTAGATGGGTGACCACTTGGGAATACCAAGCACTGTAAGCTTGGATGTGCAGATGGTGAAATGGATAATGGCTCAGAATTGTTAATCAGAGAGCTGAATTCCAATTCCATTTGAGTTTGTTATATTCACTTAATGCATAAATACCCTTTGTGAAAGACATGAATCCACCTCTTCTCCCTCCACTCTATGGGTTAATTAGTAAGACTTGTATCTCTAAAACCATTATCTCAAAATAAAATAAAACAATTCTTACAATCTAAAATTATATTCTGGCTTTAAATAACCTGCAACGGGTTGGTAAGCCATAGGAAATGAATGAATCTATGAATTTGCTTTAATGTAGTTCATATCATGGATACACACCTGAGTATTAGGTAAAATTTTACTAGAAAATGCAATTACCTAGGACAATGTAGCTGGATATTTAAGGTTTGTCAGAAAAATAAATGATACTTAAAACGATGTAATTTTTGTAGATGTCTATATACCAGATATTATTCTTCCACCTTTTTTTTTTAGATTGAAAATATTACAGTTTGTTAAATACAGTCAAGAGACAACAAGTATGAATAAAGAGTAACAATATGAAATACTCAGTGCAAAACAAAGTGAATTATATTGATTTATAAGTCAAAGAATTTTTCATTTATTTATAATCTTTCTGATCATCATGCAGTGATATTGTGTGCATGTGTGTAAAAATATTTTTGTGGCCTTGTGTCACACTTATATTTTTCTTGGCAAATATAATGCTTTTGATACAATATAAAATTACCCATAATCCACTCACCAGGACTTGGGCCAAACTAAAGCTAAGCTTAATAACTATCCTTAATCGCACACCTAATCTAAACACCATTGTGTGTAGTTGTTTATTTGGCTTTTTTAGTTTTAAACCTTAATCCATATTGTTAATATGAAATCCCAGCAAAGTAATTTTTAGGAGGTTGATTTCTGTCCTTCATCTTTATTACTTATGAACAGGATCAAATGGATGGAACAGAAGCCCAATTGTTGACAAAATATATTAATCACATATACAGGAAGTCTTTGAGTGATTATGATTAAAATTACTCTGATGTGAAAATAGGATGCCAATGTAATTCTTTAATAATTCAGGTTTCAATATGCATTCAGAGATTGACAAATATTTGCCAGTGAATATGGAATTAGTTCACTTGATTGTCTTTTTGAAATTTAAATTTATAGCTTTGATTAGAACAGATTAGAAGTTAATGATTGCTCCCATTGATATAAAATTGATGGAATGATTTATAGTTCAGAAAAAATCATTAATATTATGAACACCTGCCCCCCCCCTCTCCTTCCTCATGTATACTTTCAAATCAGCTGGATCTTTTGGTGATTGTATAATGTATCTAATGCTGATGAAATGTATTGATCTAGTCCATATATTAATGATAACTGTTTTCCTTTATACTTATTTCTTTTAAAGTGTTTTCCTTTTTTTTTATCATGGGATTTATATTCAACAAAAGCTGAGAAATGCATCAATTGAAATGTGTTAACAATAAGCTACATTCAGTTATATGAATAATATTTGGAATGATTAAAATATTGCAAATATTTTTGTTACAAAATTTAGGTGAAAGATATTGAGAGTCAGCAAAGTTAGAACATTTCGTAATAAGGAGATATAAGGGCAGCTGAGAGATCAATGACTCTTTTAACAGCTGACACTTCTTCAAAATCTGCAGGCACAAAAAGACTGTCAACATCTTTCTCTTATCAGACACATTGTGATATTGATCATTACAGCCTTTCTTTTTTACTTTTTTCTTTTATCCGTTTCTTTCCTTTTTTTCTTTCTTTCCTTTTTTTCTTTCTTTCCTTTTTTTCCTTCTTTCCTTTTTTCTTTCTTTCCTTTTTTCTTTCTTTCCTTTTTTTCTTTCTTGTTCCAATTCAAGAAGTTCAGAACTGTCATTAAAATTTCTTCACTTTTTCTTTTCCTTTTTTCTTTTTTCCTTTTTCCTTCTTTTCCTTTTTTCCCTTTTTTTTCTTCCCTTTTTTCTTCCCTTTTTCCTTTTTTTTTCTCCTTTTTTTTCTCCTTTTTTTTTTCTTTTTGTTCCAATTCAAGGAATTCAGAACTGTCATACAAATTTCTTCACTTTTTTTTTTTTATATACATATATTTTATTTCAGTTTAATTTTTTATTAGGGGAACAAAAAAAAATTATCCACTGATTTATTTGAACAAGGATCCTCATCTTTATTATCATCATATCTACCAATTTATTTCTCAAGCATTTCTACTCAAGAAGTTTCTCACTTAATACCTTTATTTTTCAAATATTTACATTTTCTATTGTTTTTCTTTTTTAGCACAAAATTTAATCCAAACTCTTATGCATTGAAAACTCAAAATAATTTTGCTAGCACAGTTTTAGTAACAGCATCATAGAAATTAATGTTAATTTTGATCTATGGCATTGTTTGAATCGGTCTTCCTTAGAGATTTATGAATAAACATCAAAAGACTACACATTCATAACTCATTCGGTTTAATGTATCAATACAGAAAAATATCACGTGTTTTGTAGCTATCAATCAAAAAATTAGAAAAGATTCTTTTTTACAATTTATTATCATCAGGGGCCGTCTTTTTTTTTTTTTTTTTTTTTTTTTTTTTTAAGAAAACAAGAAGGCTAACAGAAAAAAAAAAACTCTCCCTATCCTATGAAACCCTTAATGTTTGTTCTGCTCTGCTATTCCTTAATTTGAAAGATTATTTTATTTTAAATGCAATTTTCTTTCTTTTGATTGTTCATCTCCCAGTGTTACCAGTCAGAAGTAACTTCCTCATAAATTTTAAGATTGCCTCTCAAGTATATGAATGTTAGATACCATTTACATTTGGCTTTAGAGAAAAGTAATTCTGTGACTGATATTTAAGTATCATTTGCTTTGGAATTAAATATGAAAGCATTTGATTTTGATTATAACAATGTTTTGCCAATAATTTTCATCCCACAATGTTAAGAGCAGTTTTGCTAATTCAGAAACTAAAATCACTGCTAAATAAGATTTTTATAAAAAATGGCCACAACTATCAAGTGTGTTCCTGGTATGATCTATCAGGTCATCCCATAAGTTCTGTCCGAATTTTGAATAAAGAAAACAAGTGACCAAATGTTACATTTAATTACAGATTCAATCAAAAATGTATTTTCCCTGATTATCTATGACATCCTTCCATCTATTAACAAGCTTACTAATTCCATTACTGTAAAATTCTTTTGGCTTTGATTCGAAGAACTCACAAATGTCAGTTTTAACCTCTTCCTGTGTTACAAAAAGCTGTTTCTTCCAAATGATTCTGTAAGCTCTGAAACAAATGGTAGTCTGAAGGAGCAAGATCGGGAGAATAAGGTGGATGGGGAATTTTCTCCCAACCAAGTTCTTCGATCTTTTGTGACATGCTGTGTGGGGGTCGCGCATTGTCCTGATGAAACATCACCTCTTTTCAATTCACTAGAGCAGGTCTTTTTTCCTCAAAGCTTGGTTCAAACACTCTAATTGCTGACAGTATATTTGAGCATTAATTGTTGCATTAGGTGGTAAGAATTCAAAGTGGATCCCACCAGATTGAAAGAAGAACCTTTTGCCCATGAAGTTACCTTCTCGGCTGTGGCTGGGTTCCTTCCCCTTTACCAAGCCACTCTCTACGACGCTTAACATTTCAATAAAAGATCCATTTTTCGTTGCCAGTCACAAGTCTATCCAAAAAAGTGAAACAAGTTGGCGAGAATGGAGAGAAGAGCAGATGTCAACTCGGGATTTGAGGTTGTTTTCAGACAATTCATGAGGCACCCATTTTCCAAGTTTAGGAACTTTTCCAAGTTGTTGAAGAAGACAATGAACAGTTGTATGGTTTGAACCGAGAACCACTGCCAATTCCTCAACTGATAAATAAGGATTTTCTTCAAGGGCTGCTTCAAGAAGCTTTTCATCAAACACAACTGGACGTCTGGTTCAATCTTCATCTTCAAGGGTGAAATCTCCACCTCTGAATTTTGCAAACCATCTTCTGCAAGTTCTTTCATTCACACATTCCTCTCCATAAACTGAGTGAATGTTTCTAGCCACTTCGGCTGCTGCGTTTCCTTTCTTGAACTCATAAAGCATTATGTGCCTCAAATGATTCTTGGATACTTCCATGTTAGCAGGGTTTTAATCAAACAAAATTTAATTTTATTGTTCTCTGAAATAAAATTTGATTAGTTTAAATGCATCTAAACATAAAAATAATGTTCAGCTCCATTAGACATTATAAAATACTCTTTAAATTTTGTTCATTTTAACAAAAATTAAAATTCGGACAGAACTTATGAGATGACCTGATAGTTTCCAGAAAAGATCCAGCTGGTAAGAAAATTGAAAAGGTTCAATTTGTTAAATAAAGATTAAATTGATTTTATGGTTCTATCACCAGATTAGATAAATTAGACAAGGGATAAACACAAGAACAATGAAAAAATTATTTCTGAAGTCAAAGAAATTAAGTTGAAAATCTCACAAAAAAGATCTCAAATATTTCCTCATCTAAACTCTTTAGTTTTGAAAAAATTAGAAAACAGTTTTGAAATTAGAACAATAATATTTGTTTGGAAAACGATAAAAGCCATTTCCAGGCTCATAAGAAGTTTAAATTGTCTAAAATATCATTTTATTATGTAGTTAAAAGAATTGATTATTAACCAATATGAACATTATTAGGAACAAAATAGATTTCTTCATCTTTGGGAAATGCTGTTTTCCTTCTGGGCAACAACATTGTCTGAATATATTTAACATAACTATAAATGATTTAGTGTCCTTATTAGTTAGTCTCTGGATTCTTCTGTTTATAGAAACTGATAGAGATGGTGCCAAAAGAATTGTTCCATTTCCTTGTTGAAGCAATGACAAAAATGGCTACAAGCAAAACAGTCATTGTGACAAAGACAAAAAATGCCCCGACTCATTAGACTAACCTTAAGCTAAAGGAGTTGGCAGTTTGTACTCCTGAGGGTGCCAACAAACAAATATCCTTATATACTTGGCCTATAATGAGAGATGATTGATAGAAGTCTCAAATGGACATTGTAGCAATCAACATATCCCTTCTTCCTTGCCACCCATCAATAGACCTGTGGAGAAAATGTGGATTCTGTTTGAATCACAGAACAGGCACAACGATTTTATTGAACCAGAGAAAACCCAGGAGAATGTTGTTTTTCTATGTTTTCACTGGGCATGTGATCTTATATTAGATTTCAATGGCAAGCAGCAAAAGGGAAAAAGCATAGCAACCATGGAATATTTTCAATAAAGCCTCAGCAATCTTTGAAAAATCTGAGATATATATGTATATGGCTGTGATATATTACTGGTCAATCAAGTACAACTGCTTTTGTAGATGATGCAAGGCTTGTTCTTTTTCACACATAATCAGAAATGGAGGTGGGGGTCATATAACAATGCCACCAACACAAAGTACACTCAAGAAATATGTTAAATGAGCTACCAATCAAACCTGACATATTTGGAGCTAGTGTGTCATCTGTCAGCCAAAACGTCAGTGAGGGAAGGTCAGTGGCAAAGCATTTGGACTTCTCTAAGAGCTGTTTTGAATTGATAGAATATAATGTTGGAAGGTAAAAAACATGTAAAGAATGAACTATGCACACACACACACACTCTCCGTCACATTTAGTCAACTGGGTAATGTGGTTAATTACATACATACATGTACACACAGAGACACGTGTGTGTGTGTGTGTGTGTGTGTGTGTGTGTATATATATATATATATATATAATCTCCACAGACAGGCTGTTTCACTGTATCACAGCTAATCAGTGTGGCTAGACATCCGATTGCTTCAAACTCGGGTTGGAACCCGACCGATTTGGCATTAGTCAGAGATTCTACCCTCAAGCTCTCGTCACACAGCAGAAAGTAAGGGAAATTTTAACGTCTTTACTATATGAAAGATGTTAGTCTAGAAGAGCTCAATTTTAGTTGAAGAGCATTGTATTAGAAGCAGCAGCAGCCACTGTTTATAAAATCACCCCTTCCTCACTGAGAGCTCAATCAAATTATTTCGAGAGCATAGTCATCCACAGACAGACATATATATATATATATATATTTTGTAAGACAAAATGGAAAAAGTTTATTTGTGAGACATTTCATCTGTCAAGACTTCATTGGGCTGGATTTGTTGGTGTTGTTGTGACTACACATGAATGAAATTTTACAATCTAATCAAATTCAACTATATTCTTTTTCTTTCCAATGAAGTCGTGAAGGATGGAATGCATCACAAATAAACTTTTTCATTTTGTCTTACAATTTCCTCAATACTCTTCTTGATATATAAAAATATAATATATATATATATATAAGGAAGTAGTGTGGGGATTATCAGGCAACCATATTGAGATTTCAAGTGGCTAGCACATTTTTCTCAAAATAACTTCCGTCAAATTAATTTTTGTATCATCAACTCTGATTATTTGCACTATCTATATAAAAGTTAGAGGTAAGGGAGCTGGTCAGATTCATTAAGCCCAGGTTTATTGAGAAATTCCCCACCCAATATGATTTCTTAACATTCAAGTGTGTAAAACAGAACTAATTATCACTTACTCATTTCTTTTAAATAGAAAGCAACCAGAGATTTACATTTGTTCTTGTTCACAAAATGAAAAAATGAATTGTGCTAATCAATCAACTGTCATTTACAAAAGTCATAAACTAATAAATAATTGCTTAAAATTATTTTTCATTAATAATCTCTTTGAATAAATTTTTAGAAGAAAATGGAAACTAGAGATCGATAAATGGTAAAAATTATTTGATAATGGGTTGTTTTTTCTTTGTTTTTGTTTTTTTTAATACCTGTCAATCAAAAGATGCAAAGAGATACATAGACATATTTTAGTCTTATACAAGGCCACACAAGTGTGAGACAACGAATGAAAATTAATTGCTTTGGTTAATTGTATAAGGATGTTTTTTGGGGTTTTTTATTTAAAATATAAATTAATGATATAACTTTTTTTTTTTTTTTCTAATTTTATCTTTATTTTTAATTTTGCAAAGCAGGTGTTAATGCTCTACAATTATCATAATAAATGTAAGACAAGATTCTATTTTTTTTTTTTTTTTTTTTTTTTTTAATATTTTATGAACTTCTTCAAATATTAGCATTTTTTTTAATGTGAATATAAGTTTACATATAAAAGAAAGGCATTGAAAAATTCTCTACTTGACCAACTTCCTAAAATCTGAAGAAACCTCAGAAATTTTTGAGGGATTCTTGGTCTGACAGAACTTTTCAGCAGTCCCATCTGTAAAGTTATATCTCTCACATTTGCATTTATTAGAAGCGGATAACATTAAGTTACATCAACTGTCTCTGTGCATACAGAAAGAGCATTTTATTCACTCCTTTCTGTCTTTTAGGAGGTAAGTGAGTAAAATTATACTTACCTGGAAACATTTAAATTAGCCTTTTTGATCATATATTTCCACCCCTTTTTTTTTTCTTTCCCTCTCATATTAATAAGTTTTATTAATAAATTTGTATTTTAGTTGTGGTTCATTTTGTCACCTCCTTATATCTTCTTGCAGTGCAAATTATTGTTTTCTTGGTCAAGTAATATTTACCAACGTATTCTTCTGACGATGAGTTGATCAAAAAAGTAATCCGTGAGATCACCCCTGGTCGGCAGCTGATGAAGTCAGGGTATCGCACGTGCTAACACACGTTGTATGTTAAAAAAAAAAAAAATATATATATATATATATATATATATATATACACACACACAGATTTAGAAATGCAGGAAAACATTCTTCTTTTCTTGCATTTCTAAATCTGTGTGTGTGTGTATATATATATATATATATATAAAATACAGATTTACATATATAACTTTCACATTATAGATTCATCTACAGATTTTATAAATCCTGAAGCTCTAAAAAAACATATTACAATTGTCTCTATAAAAAAAACTTAAGCATGTGTATGAACATGCCTATTTCTAGTAATCTATCTTATAGTTTTACATAAGTTCAGATGATACAATCCAATGATACAATGTTACATAGCTTATATAGTTGTCCAGTATTAATCAGTATTTAATATAAAGCTGTTCTTCACTTCTGGCCAATGATGACAGTAGCTGACCAATGCTTCTTGCCATTATCAATCGTCTGTCTGTTGTAATTAGTAATTATGCTGTATATTCACTTTCAGTGAACTCCTCTGATGGTGCAGCCACAACCATTCCACGTATGTATTTTACAGCAACCTTACCACAGTGCTTCGTTTTTGAGTCCTATGTGTCTGCATAGGATCTTATTATACCTTCGTCTCCTTTTTTTTATCAACCCCCCCCCCCGTTTTTGTCATTATAAAGAGATGAAAAGACTTTTTTTTTTTTTTTTTTTTTTTTTATTATTCCATTATCATTTCTTTTCATATATCAAACAGCAATATATCATTTTTATAAAGTGCAGTGTTTGAACAAAAACTTTCATAACGTATAAGATTTAGAATTATAAAGATAATATTTTTTATCTGTGAAAATGGTAATTGCTTGAATTTAATTTACCTAAATATTTAATATAGCAATTTTGGGGTTGACAGAATTAGAAAAATTTGATTGTAGAAAAATTTAATTAAATTCTGCCACTTCCTTAATTCAGGAATGATTTTACTTAATTTCTTACATTAACTCATTCATCAATAATGGATTCAGTGTGCATTTAATACATTCTATAAAATAATGTTTATTCTAGGAATTCAAAAAAAAATTTAGATTTTAGCTTAATTAGATAACTATGCTTGGCCTTCTCTTGAAATGTCTTTTTCTGTATAATTTCTATATGTACATAAAATAACAGTTATATTTAATCAATATCTAAAGATGCTATAAGACAGAATAACAATTATTAGCATCAAAATTAAAGATCAGCAGTTATAAATATGAACAAAATTTATTCATTTTTTGCCTTATGAATCTACTTCTTCCTGTGGAATTTTTTATCACTGGCAGACCTAGATGTGTAGTAATGTAGGACTGGGGCAAACCACTCTCCCATGAATACCTATCCAGGTGATAGCAATTATATGCTGTTACTCTCATAGTCAACTTTGACAGGGATCAGTCGTTTAATACATAAATTGTTTATTTGTTTTCTGTGATGATATCACAAACAAGGAATGATCCCTGACATAATTGCCCCAGTTAAATTATGAGGCCAGAGGGCTCCAACTGTCATTTAGTTACCTATAGTTTGAATTTGGTTTAACAATTCTCTTTTTCATGCTGTAAACAACTGACTTACACCTCTATTAAAGAAGTTGTTAATTGGGGAGGTGCTGAAATGTTCTAATCCACTTTTCAAAATCTGACCAAACAACAGATTTACTGGTTGAACAGCTTCTTAGTCAGGGCAAAAACAATTCTATCTTTTCCAAAATTTTCATCTGAATTTCTTTATTATCTATGTTAAAAGGTTTGAAGAAGTCATTGGTCTTAAGTGCTAAGGCTTTTTCATTTCTCAATCAAAATAGTATTCCATTCTTCACCAATAACTTCTGATAATTCTTTAGATGCAAGACTCTTCAAAAGATTTTTCACAATTTAGTATAGCCAATGAAAATTTTTTTATTTACTGAACTGTCAGTCTTACAAAATTAAAAATAATATAATTCCATTAATTATTTTGAACAAATATCTTAATCTTTGTTTTTATTACGTCTTGAATAATTTGAATAAAAGTGCACTCAACAAATACACAGCATTTTTAAATTTAAAAAAAAAATGGTAATGAGACAAAAATGCTTTTTCTTTTTTTCCCCCCAGTCAGGATACTTGTCATCAATGTCTCTTTCATTTTGTTAAGTCTAAAAGGTCCAATGTCCTCGTTTCATTCATTTACCTGATCAAAGACGAAGCACTGTTAGTACTGTCCCATAATTTAGTGCATCCTCTGTTAACACTTTGTATTGTCATAGAATCAAGGACTGTCCAAATAAAGGAGGGAATTTAAAGGAATAATAATAATTATATCAACAACAATAACTATCATCATCATCATGCCAATAGTTGTCTTTTATTGGATATCTACATAGAAGATTGCATGATAAATCTATATCTATTTTTTCTTTATGATCATTCATCATTGTCACCTCTCCTTGCAGCTTCATTGATTCTCATTTACCCGCATGCACTCATGCTTTTGTCCAATTCCTTATTTTTAAACACAGTTATAACATGTATTGTCATTGCTGTATTTCCCTTCAGTCAAATTATTTAGATTTTCTTACATCACTACCATTCTAATATATACAGTTTATTTGAAAATCAAGTCATTAATGTCAATAAGATGGATTCGTTTTCAATTTTTATCAATTGCAACAAAATTATGCCAAATTTTACTCTTTTAATTTTACAAGCAAAATATCCCATTTATTAACCAACACAAATCAAATTTGGTTTTTGTAAGAAATTTAGCAGTTTCTAGCACAATTTTTTTATTTGCTATCTTTGTCTTGATAGGAAAATTTTACAAATGGAGGATGGAATTATATTTAGATGTTTTTAGGGGAAAAAATGTAGGCTGAATTAAATTCTGAGTCCATTGGAATATTGGACAATAATAATTCTTGTAATTGAGCTTTTCATAAAAAAAAAAACAAATTTTGCTTGTTATGTTTCTTTTTAACTTTCATGTCTGCTTGTAAACTTAAAAATGAAATCCATGTACTAAAATGGATTAGGTAAGTTTTGGTCTATGTCCCAACTGTATAAAAAGCTGAAGATTTTTTTTTTTTTCATTAACCATCCTTTGTCTTACATGATATTAAGAAACTTTGAAAAAGAAATGGTATACTATTTAAAGATTTTCTTAAAAAAAAAAAAAATTGATCTTGACATTATTCTAAACCATCTCCCAAAATTCCTCACTAAACATAAAGACTTGTCAACATTTCTTTGTTTTTGTCTTCAATTACTAAAAGCATGCCAATGATTGTCTTTTTTTTTTTTTCTTTTTTTTAAGACAATTTTTTTCTGTCTTTCTTAATGCTTTGCATGTTGTGTAAATCTTGACTCCTGCCAAGTTCATCTTGGACCCATAACTTGCTGGTCACTTGCCATCCACCTACTCAACCATTACAACCATTGTTACAACTTTTGTGCTGTCCTTGTAATTTTAACTGAGCAAACCACTTTTTCATTTTAGACATCTACCCAATCTATTTAGGGATATTCTTTCCTTCTAAAAGGAAAAACATTTCTTTCAGTTACAACTATCTTGTGCCTTCATTATTTATACTTTTTCACTTTTTTTTTTTTTTAAAAATGGCACTTTTGCCATGACTATACTTTGAAAAGATAGAGTAGAGTTTTTCATTGCTTTCTTCACAGTTTTCAAGTCAGACTTGTCATTCTCAATTTATAAATAATCTATCAAATTCATATAAATTACAGATTTTTTTTCTTTTTTTTTTTTCGAAAATCCTCAAGACACTTTCAATATATTCAAAATTACTTATTCAAAATAAATGATATGAAAAGAATAAATAACTAGAATTAGTAAAATAGTTAAAACTAAATTTAAATCATTTTTTGTTAATTACATTTTTCATTTGGGTATTAAAATTTATTTTGTCTAAATAGATAAATTGTAGTTTATTTGATTTTTTTTTTGTTTTTTTTTCTGTTTTTCAAATTTAGAGTGTGCAATTCATTGTGTGAAATTTTAAGGTTTTATAGTTCCCCATTTATCCAGTTTTTAAAAGAAAATTTTTCAACATAAAATATTTTAAAAGTTAAGGCTATGGAAAAAAAAAGTTTGTGGAGGATATTAAAAAATTTCTGAAGAAAATGATAACACTTTCAAAAAGTGTATGCATTTAAGATGGAATGCAAAACATTATCTTAGGGTGTTTATTTCAGGGTCAGTTATATCAATATCTTGTAATCAAAGAATTAAATTTCTTAATTATAGGTTAATCTCAGAAGTTCACATTATATAAAAGCCCAAATTTACAAAATGGCCACATTGCATAAAATTTTTCTCCAGTCTCCACCTTGTCATTGGTGAAACAACTCTAATTTGTCAACTGCAGTAAAATTTTAAAAGAAACTTCTTGTACTAGGCAAATCATTATTGCTTGACTATGGAAGTGGTAGAAATTCAGGAAAAACCAAAACAATTTCACTTGCATTTAAAGAAAGTCAGTCTATCAAACTGATAAAAGTAAGAATACTAATCCAAATAATTCATTAAACAACTTTGATTTCTAGCAAGAAATTGGTACTTTTAATGAATTCAACAGATTAAAAATTTTCCTGTGGTTGAGCATGATAAAAGAAATGAAAGAATGATCCTCAAAAATCATTATAGATTAAAAAAAAAAACTTTGCTTGATCTGTCATTGATTTTACCAGTAAAATGGAAGACATGTGTTTTGAAATCTATTTCCTGTTGAATAAATTATTCATGCAAACTTACTTTCAAAATTGGACATTCATTCTGGTAAAAATTGACTTCTTAAAAACTTTTAAAAATTAAATTTACTTTTGTGCAAAATTCTTAGTTCACTACATAATACATAAATAATAATTCTATAGATTCTTGTAGGCCTATTTTATGTGATAGATGAACAAATAAAACAAAAAAGATGGACAAAGCAAATTGTGTGTAACACCAGCCAATTATATCACAGTTTTCACTGCATCTTCTCATGTTATGCATAAACAGGCTTTTCAAAATTTTAATTTTTTTTTTCATTTGCTTCCATATTCATATTTTGAGCTAATCTTTTGAGGATGCACTGATTTTTGCAAAAAGAAAAAAAAAAAAGAATGAATAGTGGAATGCTAAGGTTGATTGTAAAAATGAACAAAAAGTGGGTGGAATAATGGCCAGAAGTAAAACTTGTCATATTCAAAAAATTGAATGATATGCGTTTTATTTTTTTTGTTCAATTTGTTTTTATTATTTAAATATTTACATGCTTAAAAAATGTACATGAATAATAGTTTTAATTTTATAATTGTGCCTTTTTTATGTATTTTATTTTTAGTTGTGTGTTATTTTTATCAATGTTTTCAAATTACGCAATATTTGAGCTTTTCAGAAAGTGGCTTTTTTAATCTTGAATTCATGGTTATCTAAAATAGACTTTATCATGGTTCTTGCACAGAGTTAAAGAAGATAGTCATATGTTTATATATTTTTTTTTTAAGAAAAAGTGAATTGTTATTTATGATTCTTTTTTTTTTTTTTTTTTTTCTTTTTTATAAAGCCACATCAAAATTACACTTCACTAGAGCATATTAGAATAGAATTCAAACCTTCTGGACTTCATTCTTGCTAATGTCAAAAATATAGCACCTGGAATTCTTATAGACATTCAAATATTTAACATATTTAACTGGTAACGTAAGATGTTGTGCCCCATTAATTGTTCAGTATATCTGACATTATTGTAAGAGTAAAGCAATGATTTTAAGAAGGAAAAAAACAACGTCAGTGAAAGCATTTTTATGCTTTTTGTCTGACTTGCTTATCTCATATCTGCTTTAAACATTTTAAAGAGTTTTTTGGGGGGAGAGAGGTTGTAACTTCTTGCATTCATTTTGAATTTAATAATATAAACATGACTTAGTTTTTTCTTTTCTTTTTAAGAATATTTTAGTTTTGATAACTACGAGTCAAACTCTTGAATAACATCTAAATGTTAACCTCTTCCAAAATGGCATTTGTATAAAAAAAAAAATCTGTCTCTCACTCTCACTCACACACACACACACACACACACACATAAATAAATAAATAAATAAATAAAAAGTAAGTAGATTCTTTCATTCAAAAATTAATGCTGTATTTAGTCTGAGTTTTGTAAAATATTTTCCTTCTTGTTTTTGTAGTAAACAAGATTGGCCCAGATAATAAAGAAGCTAAAAGTCAGAATCTTGCTGAATAACTCGGTTTTTATAGTGTCTTTTTTTTTTTTCTTCTTTTCTGTTTATTGAATTGATTTTTTTTTTCATTCCTTCATTAGGAAGGGAAGAGGAGGAATTGCAGGTGCTGTCCAAGTTGAAGGAAACCATTGACAAACAAAGAGAACAAATCCGTGCAATGAAGAAAGAAATAAACCAGAAGACATGTGATGCTGAAGCTGTAAGTATAAGGTTTTATTTTTTGTAGGTACCTGTGCAAGACTGTGTTTGCACAAAAGGATATTGCACTGAAAAAGGCTTGAGGAGAATGTAAATTATTTGGGTTAATTTATTCTGAGCGTTGTAAGAGGTGTTACTTATTTTTTTCATAGAAAATAAGCTAAGAGATAAAAGAAACCAGCAACTAGATAATTAATATATATAGTCTTAATGCAATAAAACTTTTTTCATGAAGAAAAAAATTTTCCAAGTTTTTATTTTAATAAGCTTGTTTGATAAATTGTTCTTTATTAAACTTGTTAAGAATTGTGTCAATAAGTTTTTTTTTTTTTGTTTTTTTTTGTCAATGTCAACCCTGGTAAAATTTACATTAATGCAACATGAAATATAAACTGAACTCACTGTCAACCATTTGAAGGACTATAACTACAGCTGTGTGGAGTGTTTTAAATATAAATTTATTTTTAGTTCTTTTTTAAACCTTTTTAGGGCAATTTTTAAACGTAATGTGATTGGAGTTAATACCAATAAACTAGATTAGTGTTTCCTAAACATTTTTCACCTCATGACCTTTTAAGCAGAAACATAATTTAAAGTAAATAATTTTATATTTTTACATTATTAAAACAAACAATATACTCAGTTTTAAATGCATACATATTTTTTGTATTAATACTGTAGGTATTTGCTAAACTTAGTCTGGTACAGGGAAAAATATGCATGCCCATGGAGAATCACCTTTTCTTTCTTTTTTTTTCTATCATTTCACCCCAAGCAAGGCAATAAAGCCACTAGGATACAGAGGATTACTGAATGTTAGAGAATATAAAAAAATTACTATTAAGGAGAGAGGAGAATAAAAAAAAAAAAAAACAAGAATTATGACAAAAGATAATGATTGACATTGCATTTAAACCAGAAGAGAGTTCTACAAGCAAGAAGTATGATAGAAAAAACTGTTAGCATGGAATTTATGGCTACATTTAGCAGCCATTTCAACTGTAAAATGATGAGACCTTGCTGCCAATCTAGCACTGTGCTTAAATTCATAATCTTGGTACCATAAAGGAAAGTTGACCAGAACAATTACCATGAAAGTATTTATAGAAAAGGTTCAGGGAAGCTATGTTACAGCGGTGGGAAAGAGACTGAAGCTGAGTTTGTCAGGGCCAATGGCATTGCAGATTCTTCTTTGGATTTTATCAAGAATCTGTAAATATATAACACAAGCACTAGACCAGATGTGGCAGAAATATTCAAAGCAAAGATGAATGACAGAATTATAAATGTCTCAGATTCTGGCAAGAGAGAAGAACTTTCTAGTGCGACATACTTTCCTGGCTTTCAGTTGATTCAATATAATCTTTCCACTTGATGTCAGCTGAAAATGTTAGTCTGAGAAGGCCAAATGAGTCACTTTGTCTTTCAGACAATTACAATTTGTTCTTTATCATATTTATTTATATATATATATATATATATATATAGTACAGGTAATAAATCCATTGGTATATAATCCTAGTGGAACCTACTAATATAAAATATTAAAACTGATCCACAAAAAGGGCTCAATGTATTTATTATAACAGAGCAAATAAATAGTATATATGTTATATCTGCAGAAAAATAATCACACACACACACACACACACACACATATATATATATATATATATATATATATATATATAATCAAATGAATAAATGTATGTGTAAGTGTTCACATACAAATATCCTTTGGCATAAGAAAAACAGTGCTCAATGGTAAATATCAGAGCTATTAAGATGATTCAGTTTCATGCGACTAATGCCATCATCAGGTAGCATGAACTCCTGAGTTGTACAGACAGCATGGTGTACTATGCATTTTTTAATATATATATATATATATATATATATATATATATATATATATTTATTTAAAAAAAATATGATTCAATCGCGACATAAGAGGTCTCATGTTTCAAAACAAGAGCCGAAAACTACTTGAATTAAATTGAGTTAAAGTAAGCTTTTTCGCTTGAAGATGGAACGGAGCTTACTTTTAACTCAATTTAATTCAAATAATTATATTGAAGTTTTCGGCTCTTGTTTTGAAACATGAGACCTCTTATGTCATGAGTTGGAATCATATTTTAAATAAATAATTATATTTATGCTCTACTTTTGTATCGAGCACTATTTTTTTTAAAAATAATAACTAAAATACTAAAGAACTTTGGATTATTTACCTAACCAGTTCCTTCCTATTTTCTATATATTTTCACACACACACATATATATATATATATATATATATATATATATATATATATAAATAATAGGAAAGTACAGTCAGATTTATAATCCAGTTTGTTTTTTTTGTTTGTTTTTTTTTTTTTTTTAAAACAGTACACAGTAGAGCATAATATTATAATTATTTTTAAAAAAATATATATCTATTGTGACACAGAAATTACTGTTTCGAAACCAAAACTTAAATTTTAAATTTAACTTAAAATTTGAAGTTTGGTCCAATTTTCAAGTGATGTTGAGAATAACCTTCGAAAAAATTGATTCAATTGAAATGGGACCAAACTTCAAATTTTAAGTTTAAATTAAAATTTAAGTTTTGGTTTTAAAACATAGTAATTTCTCTGTCATGATGGATACATATTTTTAATAAAATAATTATAATAAATATATAATGTTCTGTGTGCATATGAAATCTGTCTTCAGATTAATGCTCTTTAGAAAGGCATGAACCCACACCTTTATGATATTTTTGGATATTTTGATAAAGGTTTTGTCAATCACATAAAGGGAGAGAGAAGAGTTGGGTCAGATCCTTTTTTTCCACTACCGGCACTATGTAACCTAATTCTACTTTATTTCCTGAGAAGCTGCGAGCTACAAAACAATCCTTCCAGCCCTAGAAATGCATGGTGTGTGTAACACAAAGATTATCTATATTTATGTAACCATCCATATGTAAAGTTTAACACATTCAGTTTCAGTTGCACTAAAATAGAAAATGAAAATGTCCTATAAAAACTTTTCATATAAATATCAAACATTTTTTATCTTCCCTGTAAAATATACTTAACCTTGACTTCATTTTAATAATTTTACCAATTGTTTTCCTTTATGCTAAACTCATTTTATTCTTATTGTAATATTGCCTCAGGCATAGTACAATTCTTGTTTGTGTCAGGAGTAAATTGGGAAAGGTTTGGGGAACATTCAACAAACCGCAGGTATTTGTCATATCTGCAGAAAAATGTCTTCTATAATTAGTAGACTGTCATTTTAAGATACATTAAATTGTATCCAAATGCCATACCATATCTAAGTAGTTTGATACTTTTATAATCTGTTATTTCTAAGATTGTTTCATTTGGGGTATTTAAATTTGACTTTCTTCTCAATAAAAACAGATTCTTTCAAAGGCAACAAAAAGGAGGATTGTTGCTAAAACCTGTTTCCAAGAATCATTTTTAAAATTTATTATTTATTGAAGACAACAAAATGGATAATATTCAAATATCTTTTCTTGGATAAGAAAAATAAATCCCAAAATAATGGAATGTCAACAGGCATAAGAATGCTTAGAATTATTTGATGACTGGTTAATGATTTGGTCCTAAGATCAAAGAAAGATTGGAAAACTACAGTACACAGGCCAAATCTCACCCAGTTCAATCATTGATTTGACCAAAAGACTGTAATGGTTTTTATTTTATTTTCCCTTTAATATTGTTATGTGTAAATAGTTTTTAAAAATGTCTTTTATCTATTGTTAAGGCCCTTCATTTAAATCTACATTTATAAGTGACAGAGCTGCAATCACATAACATGAAATGCCCATCACTTCAGATGTACAACTAGAATTGATTGACTTGCAATTCAATGAGACATAAAAGACAAAAACAAAAAGACAAAAATAACTGACTTTTCTAAATTTCTTCCAAATGCAGGATATTCTGATTTTAAAATCTTTTTCCTGACAATTTCAGTATTTAGCTGAGGAGGTGGGGGAAGTGGAGTCATTTTCAAAGTTGAAATAAGGTTAAATCTGCCTAAAGGTCAAAGAGGAAGCATAAATTCTAAACCAAAGCTTGACTTATTTTCATCTCAAAGAAAAGAACTTCATTCTTTGTCTTTAACATTACTACTAAAAGATTGTATTAGTATTGAGAAATATTAATTTAATGTTCTTTAAAAATAAAGAGCTTGAATATATATATATATATATATATATATATATATATATATATATATATATGACGATGAATATGGCCTGACAATTGCATTTAGCATTTTAGCATCAGTCTGTTGCCTCTAAGTGTTGACTTCAATGTTCACTTGGTGTGTTTACGTGTATATATATATATATATATATATATATATATATATATATATATATAAATTACATATAAAGGAAATTTAATACCTATCTGAATGGCCATTTCACCCAACAAGAAAAATAATCAAATAATCTTCCGAGGTTTATCAGCAACAATGGCTTTGAAGATAAAATCAAATAAAAAAGAATCTTAAAAATTTTTAAAACTTTAAAGAAACAGGAAAGAAGAGGAAAGGAAAGATGACAAAGTAAGAGAAAAAAGTAAAAAGGGAGGAAAAACGAGAGAGAAAACAAAATAGAGAGAGAGGGGGGGTAAAAGAAAAGGGAAGAAATCCACTCTAGATGTAGACATCCTAAACACAGTTGGAAATTTGACACCAGTTAAAATAACCTTGACCTATATTTTAAAATATTAATATCTTGTTTCAATAAGGAAAAATTATATAAGGAAATTCAATCTTTAAAACTTAGAGAAGGTTTTTAAAAATTTTTTTTAAAAATTAAAAGGGTAAAAAAAATTTGACTTCTAAAATAAAGATTATATATAATAACATAATTAAAATATATATATATATATAGAGAGAGAGAGAGAGAGAAAAAGAGGGTGTTTCACAATTGTTGAAACAAAGCAGTAGCCTCTCAGATGGGGTGGACTCGAAGATGGTGAGGATCTTGATGAAGAGGAACAGTGGTTTCAACAGGATGATGCTCCTCCTCACACAACTAATGTTACCATGGCATGACTCCGTGAAAAGTTTGGGTAGCGTCTCATCTGCTGCAAAGTTGAAAATGAATGGGCAGCTCACTTGCCTGAACTGAACCCCTCACATTTCTTCCTCTGGGGGTTCCTCAAGGATAACATTTACCAGGGCAACCCTCACACCATTGATGCATTGAAGATTCAAGTGATCACCCAGGAGGAATGTGCACATGTTAGCAACAACTTTGCATACAATATTGCCTTCATCTAAACAGCGGATATCCGGAACATGTACTCTACGACACCTCTTGATATTTTGGGTTCATATTTGAGGATAAATGGTTGCAGATCCTAAAATGTTATCCTTTTACCTTTCAATAAATGTAATTCTCATTGCTCTATCATTTGTGGTCCTTGATTTGTGTCCGATCATTTTGTTTCAAAAATTGTGAAACACCCTGTATATAACACGGATGGCCCAGTTTGATCCTGGGTTATTCCCACACTAGTCAGTACTGGCACCAGTCAGCTGATTGTTATCTGTTAACAATTTCACTCCTTCATTTGCTCTACCCATGTTGTGTTCTTTGATGACAGTGTAGTGTAGATTGAATTTTTTTCCGTACTTTAAGTGCTGAATCAAGTTGGTAGAACTGTGCTATGAAAAGGGACAAGAATTCTTCCACTGATGAAAGTAAAGAATATCATAACAAATAACGAAGAAGGCTACTGGGTTAATTTTCAATTGCTTTATATAATCATTGACACAGCTAAATTAACCCTTCACATTCTATTGTGGTACTGTATCTCTTGCTTCTAAAACTTTACATGGATTAAATGTACACACAAGAGGTCATTGGGAATTCTCATCATCAAGGCTCAACATCAGCGATTCTTTCATCCAACTCAATGCCAACAATTCTCTTAAGTAGCAGGTCACGTGGCTTCTTCCAGCCACTGCCAGGCCCTGGCACCCTCTGCTGGCTTCTTGGGGCCTCTGGTCACTTCTTGCTCAAACTGAAATTACTACTACTGGCTTCAACTGATCATTTGGTTTATATACATCTCATCCAACTCTCACTACCCCTTGAAGCTCATTAAGTATTCATTAATTATTTCCTCCAACTCTGGGTACATGACATTGACCCTAAACAATGTGGTCTGGTATTTCAAAACAAACTTTGTTTTAAAATTCCTTTTTTTTTTCTTTTTTTTTTCCTCCAACAATAAATTCTCATGAATAAATTTTCGTGTTTAAAAATTTATTTTAAATTGGCAATTACTTTGTCAATTTCCAAATCCATCCCAGTTTAAAATTCCATTGTTTACATTTTTGGCTTTAGTTAAATTCAGTTTTCAACTTTCAAATACTAAAACAGTCAACTTTTCAAAACAAAATTATTTATTTCAAATCAGCAAGGAATTTTCTACTGTTTTACATTCCAGCCTTTTTGTATTCACAATTCTTATTTGCTTCTCCATTTTTTGGACTTAACATTCCATTCAGCGTTTCTCTTTTTTTCCCTTCATATTTCAATTCATTGTTTTCACCTTAACGTTTTCTTTTTTTAATATTTTCAACCCTTCCAATTTTCCAATTCCTATACAGGGTTTTCACATGAACCCTTTTAATCATAATTTCATACTACTAGTGTTGTGGTCCTTTCAACTACTCCCAGTGACTGTTTATAGTGTCTCTTTCTCTCTCTCTCTCTCACTCACACACACACACTATAGAGAGAGAGAGAGATAGACAACATGGACGTGGGAATTAACACTGAATGCTGATTGTCAGTTTCATATTTTAGATCTTGATCTGAAGATTGCATTGAAACATGAGACTGACAGGGACCAACACTGCATGATAACTATGTCCACACTGTCTATATCTATAAATGACCTCTCTCCAATATTGAAAATTTTGCAAAAGTTTTATTTTGAGTTTGTTTTAACCTGCAAGTGTAAACAAAAAAGCTTTCAAAAATGTTTGTTCTTTTATGGTGTACCTTCAAAGCAAGGGGGATGTTATTTGGCAAGGAATTTCCATCTCTTTTGCAAATAACAAGAGACAAATTGTGTTGGGATAAACTGACTGCTCTTTGTATAATGTTGTAACACCCCTTGTGAGCTCCGTACAATTTCTCCGGCGGCCGTTCTCCACGCTGTGATGTTGCCGGGGGTTGGTTGAAAAAGTCGAAGTCTCAAGCTGGGGGCACAAGATAAAGCATTGAAGGAATGAACTTCCACAACTTAGATGAGTTTAATCAAGCTTTATTTCGTTCAGACTTAGTCTTGCTGTTGGGGTAGGCGATGTGACACTCAGCTCTAACTCTAACTAATGGAGATCAAATGCCGAACTGACAGACTCAGACGAACGGAGTTTCACTTCTTCAGTGTGCCTGACACACGTGGCTACTTCAAGCATTAACGCCCGACTGAACTGCCCGGCTCGGAAAAATCACTCGTATTTATATTGAACTAATCGGAAGTCCCTAGACCACGGGTGAAAACAAAAGATAAGCATTGGCGACTGTAAGTTAAAAATTTCAAGGTACTTAAATTTTGCTTTCTTTGATGTGTAAAAATCCTTGTCTGTAATCGGCCTCCCACGATGTATTTTCCAGGATTTTTAAATCTTTTATCTTAACAAATCTTCGTGTGAAGGCCGTGGGATGTTTTTTTTTTATAGCCCTTTTCTTTTTTTTTTATTGCCTGGAGAAAGGGAAAATTCTGTTATCTTTTCTTTATTTCCTTAACGTGTTGTTTCGAGATACAGTAAAGACGGTTTTTTGACCTGGTCATTTAAAAAATCTATTTCCTAAACGTTTATCTTTTATCACATCTAATCACTTAGTCAAATATTTTATTGGATGACTGGTAGGATTTAACAGTAATCTGATGCCCTTTTCTCTTCCACAAATTTACTTATAAAAGAAAAAGCGTTTATTTATTTATTTTTTCCTTTTTCTTTTTCCTTAGTACTTTTGTTAACGAAACACATGTTTTAAACTATTTTTCTATTCTTAACCGTTTTCTATTCTTAATTTATTAAAATAAAATACATATTTTACAAATCAACTTTAATAGACGCCTAGTTATCGTGTCACAATGTCCATAACTATTTATTGTAAGTATAGAAAGATTTTTAATTTTCTTTTCTTCTCTGGATTTTTCAGCTTCAGGCTCAATTGGAAAGAATAGTAAAAGTGAATGCTGATCTCCGCCGAAAGAATTCTTCTCAGAGAAAACAAACCCGGACTCTTTTGGAAGAAAGGCTTGAGTTACAATCACAAATACAAGACAAAGATAAACATATCCAAACTATAAAAGAGCTTTTGAAAGAATCAGAAGCTGGAAGCTCTGGAGCCTCTTTTGATGCAGAAATGGATACCACTACACTTGTAGGTTCATTTTTTTTTTTTTTTTTTTTTCTATATCAAACCCGCCCATTTCAACTTGGTAGATACAAAAAAAAAAAAAAAAAAAAACAATATAAATTGTAGCAATGATAGGATTTTTTTATAAAACTTTTAAAATATTTTCTTTGAAGCTTTTATTTTAATTTTAATTACAAAAATATGTAAAATTAATTGTAAGAATAAAAATTAAAGTTTTAATGCCAATTATGCCATCCAGAATTAACTTTCATTATGCCGTAATTGATGTCTGTCAATATCAAAAATTTTAAATTTAATTAAAAATTTACTGAAAATCTGTAAATTTAATGGTTACTTAAATGGATTTTCAAAAATTACTTCTTTGTTGAAATATCAATAATGCAAATGTTTACCTGTTACCAGTTCAAAAATCAGTGGATATTAAGAAAAATGCATACTGTTGGGGTTCTTGAGAAGAGGAAAAAAATATCTGCATTACTTGGTATGAATTATGGGCAATAATCAGAGATAATGAAAAGAGAGAACAAAGCATGATGAATAAAATTCATTTTTTTGGTATGTGATTGAGGCAAAGATTAAAAGGCAGTTGGAATGAAGAGCATCTCCAAGGACAGCTGAATTAAGGATAACCAAAAATGACAAAAATATGATCCCGACATTAAAAGACTATTGTGTAACAAGTAAAATTTTAGTAATAGTAATAATTAAGTGGATATTAACACAACAATAGCAGTAATAATAGGATGGAGTAAAACTCACCATTATAATAATAATAATAATAATGAATCACCACTTATAATAATAATAATAATGAATCGCAACTCATAATAATAATAATAATAATGAATCACCACTCATAATAATAATAAATCAGCACTACTACTACTACTAATAATAATAATAATAAATCACCACTCATAATGATAAATCACTGCTCATAATAATAATAATAAACTACCATTCATAACAATAATAAATCACCACTAATAATGATAATAATACACAACTCATCAGTCAGATTAATCTGACCCTGATGAATGGTATATATGCAAAACTTGAAATAAGAAAGATAAGTCTTTTAAACTTTTCTTTATAAAGCGTTTGGAATCCAAGGAGATATGACATATTTTTCATGACTCCATACAAACGTAAAATGTATAACGGATTTAATGTAAATATTTTTCCCCCTAATGAATTTTAATGAATATATACTTCGACATAATTATAACTCAATGTAAATATCCAACTGATTTTAATTTAAATCTGTGTGACTATAAATCATAATTTATTTAAATTCTTGCCATTAAAAAAGAAAAAAACCTATAATGAAAAGGATTGTTTCTTAAAAAGAAAGTATTTGATGTTATATACTTTGCTATCATAATTGAGAGGACCTGGCACTTCCTTGAGAAAAACAGCAGAACAGAAGGAATATAAAAGAGGAAGTTATGAGTGCAAGGACAAACTAATTATCAATAAAACAATTTTGCAAGAGGTGAAAACAAGGAAAAGAAACTGCATGGATCGACTACAGAAAGGCGTGCAACAGTGTATGGATAGAGAAGAGTCTAAAAAGTATACCTAGTATGTTCCACAATGGTCCAAATCATAATGGAGAGCATGAAAAACAGGAAGACTACACTAAACCTAAATCATACAATCACCTATTCTATATTGATGACTTTAAAATGTTTGCCAAGGGTAACAATCAGCAAAAAAATCTACTCACCATTGTCAAAACTTTCAGTGAAGACATTAGAATGTTGTTCGGAATCAGTAAATATGCCAAAACCATCTTCAAAGGCGGTAAACTAATGAAAACTACAGATTTGATATCAACAAGATTAAGGAACTAGACCAAAATGGTACATACTTAGGAATTAATGAAGGAGACAAAATACAACATTCAATTATGAAAAAAAAGATCCAAAAAGAATGTTATAGGAGAGTGCATTTGATACTAGAAAACGAAATAATGGGGCCAATAAAATGAAGGTTATCAACACCTTAACTATACCTGTAGTAACATACGGCTTCAACATTATTAAATGGAAGTTGAATGATGTTAAGAGTTGATGCTAAGACTAAAAACATGCTTACCCAAATGAGGATGTAGCACCTGAAATCAGATGTTGATAGGCTGTATGTACCAAGAGCTTTAGGAGACCGAGGTCTAATCCACCTTGAACTAACTCTAAAAGCTACAATAATTGTATTGCAAGTATACCTGACAAGAACCAATGACCTTCTCCTACAAACAGTAAAACACTAAATCCACTTCATCAACACTGCATTCTTCAAGAAACAGCCTAATATACCTGAAATGCTGCCAACAAAAATCGAAGCGAACAGCATCTACGCCAAATGAATAAAACAAAAAGCAAAACAACTTGGCCAAATGAAATTAAAATAAAAACTGGGAGGACAAGGTGTTGCATGGCAAATACCTAAAAAGAATGAAAGAAACAGTTGTGAACCAACAGAAAACACATTAGTGGCTGAGGTGCACCAGGTTGAGACAGAAGGCCTAATTATTGTAATTCAGGACCAAAGCCTTGCAACCATATTCTATTACTGTTGCATAATCAAGGATGGAACTAACCTGAAATGCTGGATCTGTGGAAAATATGATGAAACTGTCAATCATATGATCTCAGGATGTCAAGAACAAGCAAAAAATGAATATATCCACAGACATAACGAGGTAGCAACATATATGCACTGGAAGATATGCAAGAAACACAAAATCAAAATCACTGGGAGATGGTATGAGCACCAACCAGAATCGGTTACCCAAAATAATGATGTAACTATCCTCTGGGACATGCCAATTCAAACTAATAGGGAAATAAAAGCCAACTGACCTGATATTATCATAAAAGACAAGAAATTCAGGAAGTGTATGCTTATTGACAGGAAAGTACCATCTGAGAAAAACACCTCCATGATGAAAATTATTGAGAAATTGCTCAAATACAAAGACCTGGAGATTAAGATTAACAGGATGTTGGGAATGAAGACTGAGAATGTATTAATAGTAATTGGAGCTCTGGGCCTTGTGAGAAAAGGAATGGAAAATTTTACTAAAAGTGTACCAGGTAACATCAACATACAAGTTGCCTAGAAGATCGCCCTACTAGAAACATCCAATATAGTAAGAAAAGTGCTATCAATTAAATCACAATTCCCCTATAGGGCCTAAGGACCATAGTTTGGACCGGGCTCTACAGGATACAAAGCAGGAAATGTAACATACACTAATGATGATAATAATCCCTCTAAAATAAAAAATAAAAAAATGATGATGATGATCCCTCTAAAATAAAAAATGACTAAAATAAAATAATGACTAAACAAAAGTTTTGGGTAACTCTATTTTTTTGATTTTGGAACCTTTTTGAGCATTTTAACCTTTTTGAATGACCTGCTGAACAGATATCTGGGTTTTATATCTATGCTGCATGAAAATGTAATTACCAACTTGTTGACAAATGAACTTTGAATCAGCATTTCCCTTTTTTTGTTTGTTTTGTCCTCATAGAAAATAAACAACTGATTTTCTTTCATTTTTATAGACTGCCGAAGATTTGAGTGTCCTTGAAGACAAATTAAGCAAATATGGCAAAATTGCTGTTGATATGTCAGACCCTAATCGTCCACGGTTCACAATGGGAGAATTGAGAGAAGTTTTAATGGAAAGAAATGATCTTAAAACTCGCTTGTTAGAAGTTGAAGAGGAATTACAAGAGTACAAACCCAAGTAAGTATTTAACATAATTTGTTGTCTCTCTAAATACGTTTTGTCTTCCGGACTCTGGAGGAAGTTACAAAACTAAAGCACTAATCCTTTTTCTTTCTAAAAATGATGAATTTTGTTGTGATAAATGAAGGACTTTACTAAAGAGATGTTTGAATTTTTTTAAATGAGAATCATTGTCGAACAAAGCAAAGAAAGAACTGAATTCTTTTTATACAGTTACCTCATCATATGATTAACTTTTTTTCTCTTTTAAATCAAGAGTACAATGTTTGCCAATATTCTTTAGTAACATTTTAGTTCAAAAATTGATGCAAATGATTTTCAGAAATAATTCTTAATTACTTTTTGCTGAAATAGATTCCTATCAGCTAATGAATATATAATCATAGACAATATAAACTTGTGGATCGTTCATTTTTAATCAACATGTCTGATTTAGTCTATCAGAATTAGATTTGTTAAAAAAAATATATATTTAACAAAAAATTGGGTGGGTAAGTAGCTATTCTTATTGTTTGCCTGTGGAGTAATTTAGAGTTTCCCTGGTTTCTCGATTACCATAGACTTACGTCAAACTAAGCTTGCCTTCAGAAAAAAAAAAAAATTGGCTCAAAAAGTATCTGGTTAGCTTTATATACAGAGTTGAAGTATCTGATATGTTAATGTTTACCCAGATGCTATAGACTATTAATACATGTACCTAGACTGTCTTCCAAATACTATAATATTGCAATATGTAAGTAGGTTAGGAAAAAAGCATCTCCTTAGCCATTAAATGTGGAAAGAATCAATTTACACTATTTACATTGTTTGGACTGTCGTCCTCAACTTTATTGATTAAAAACATTTTGGCCACTGTATGCTCTAGCCTTCTTCAGGTAATATGCATTGGAATTAAGAAACTGAACCCTTTATTTTGTCCACCAGAGTAGATTGTTCTAGTTCCACATGCTATGCCTTTTCTGGATATCCAGTAGATGAAATAAAGGGTTCAGTTCAAAATTATGATGTGTATCATCTGAAGGAGGCCAGAAGGTACAACAGCCAAAACATTGTAAATATGGCAACAAAAATGAGGGAAACAACAGTGTATACAATGTAAATAGTTACAATACCTCATCTCAGAAATATAGACAGATCCTGAAGACGGTCAGAGTGTACATGGCCAAAATGTCGTGAATATGGTAATAAAGATGAGGAAAACTGTCCAGATGATATAAATAATGTAAATAGTTACAATACTTCATCTCATAAATATAGACAGATCCTGAAGAAGGCCGGAGCGTACATGGCCAAAATGTCGTGAATATGGTAATAAAGAAGAGGAAAACTGTCCAGATGAGTAAATATGAGATAGTGTAAATAGTTACAATACTTCATCTCATAAATATAGACAGATGGAAAAAAAAATCTTTTAACATTTTTGAAAGATTCTTTTTGTTATTCTTAATTAACACCAGGATCTTATTATTGCTTTGTTCTTACAATTTCATTGTTATTAATAACAACAAATTCATTTGAAGCTGTTCAAGTAGTAAATCTGCTTATCTTGATGCTTTTCTATTTGGTTCATATTGGGTTCTATACTCACCCAATCTATCAAATATATTTTCTAATCTGCTTGTTTTCTCTTTTTACTAATTACATCTTCTTATATATTTCTTTCTCTTTCAAAATTCAGTGTCACTGAACAACTTTTGAAATATTTATTAAATGTAACTTATGCATCTGCATTTACACTTGGCTGTTTACTTCCCTTTATTGCCAGGTGACCTCTAACCTTTAAACAGAAATCACAATCCACTCTGCGTTGTGTATGCTTGTTCAATTTAGATCTTTGTAAAAATTGTGTGCATCATTCTAATAGAATCTATCTAAAGCCGATACAGAGCATCATTTATTTATTGAAAGATATTTACTTCAGTTGAATAAAGATTAGAAAACAAATTCTGATTACTACACTAAACAGAAAAAATAGCCTAACCTTAATTTTTAAAAGCATCCAATTTTTTCAGAATTATTCATTTTTTTCAATTAGTAATGTTTTAATGATATTATTTCGAATTGATGCAATAAAGGTAGCAGTATTTTAAATCAGTGTCCAAACCTTTCAGGCCATATGATATAGTTTACATATCTTCAAAGTAAATAAATTAATAAATTTTATATAGATTTTTTAATTTTGTAAATAAATAACTTCTTTTTTCATTTGTAATTAGTCTAGGATTCAAAAAAAATCTAACAATTACAAAGAAAAAAATGGCTGGCCTCAGAGTTTGGTGACCTCTATTTAAAAAAAAATTGTTCAAACAAAAACAATTGCTTTTGCAATATACAATCCTTAACAAAAATAAACATACTTTATTTTATATTTACAAATTTGTTCACCTGAAAATTATAAGAACAATTAGTAAAAGAATAAAACTACTTCATGATTATTCATTTTGTGTTTATAAAATGTTTATAGTTTAATCTCAGGTTTTTCACTTATCAAATAAATCTTCTTGTCCCTTGAACACTGATCTCACTCTGTTTTAAGTTTTAAATACTTTCCAGTTTTAAGATTCAGTGATTTCAAATGTTCAATTTAAGAAAGACACAAAGTTGTCAAGGTAAAATTATTTGGTGACAAAAAAATTGTTCAGTAGATTTGAATGCTTTAATAAAAATATTAACACTTGATCTGACAATATTACATTACAATATCCTGAAACTATCAACCACTAAAAAACTTTAAATAGAGTGGTAGGGCTGTATAGTTTCATATTTCTTTTACTATTCAGATTACCAAATATTAATCATTTGGAGAGAAAAAAATACTTATGCTTGTTTTTAAGCAAAACAGTTTTTAAAACCTCAAATTATATAAATTTTAAATTTCAAAATTTCTTTATTCTATCCTTGAATTAATTTTTCTCAAAAGACAAAGAAACATCTTTTAATAGAAACAATTACAGAAATATAGTGAAAGAAGATTTGCTAGTAAAAGTAATACTAATTTTGTAAAATACTTTCTTCTTTAGTTTCCTTGTATCAGAATTTTTTAGAAATATAATTGCTAGTTTCTTAACCCATTTGTATTTAATTTCTTCTTAATTTAATTAAAACCTCTTTCCATATTATTTGTGCTTTGGGTGGCTTGCTGTTGTACTTGTGTGTTGTGATCTCTGACCTCTCTGCCATTGGGTAATTGTGGAGAGATGAAATTCTCCTTTCTCTTTCCTCCAGATCAGAAAATAACCTACAAGACTCTGATGCCATGCCATCTCTAGCTGAAGAATTGTAAGTGTCCTCCTGGCATTACAGCTGCTCTGCTGGTTGCCACTGTCGCTGCCACAACTACTACTACTACTAATAATAATAATAATAATATAATTCCTACTCCTGCCAACAGAACTATTCTATTAATTGTTGTTGTTGCTGAAAGATAAACTTTTTTCTTCCTCTTTCCTTCCTTTCTTCCTTCCTTCCCGTTTTTGTCTGTTGCTCAGCATGCTCTGTCTCTCTCTCATACTTTTTATTGCCTTTCTTATTGGAACTTTTTTTTTTTTTGCTTGTTATTAGTAGTCACATAGATATATAAATTAATATTAATTAAATTAATTTTAAAATTGAGATTTTTGTTGATCTTTTTTCAGCTAGTAAAAAAAGTTTCCGAAATAAACACCTTTCCTGCCTCACTATTAGTAAAATTAGTCAATAGTTCAATAACAAATAAATATTAGTATTTATTTTTTACTGTTCAATGATTGAATTCACAATTTTTGTGTGCGTGTGTTGAGGAGATTCTCAAATATTAACTTTTGTCCTTTTTTATTAATTACAAAGATTTTTGAACTGAAATTGAAAACTGACAACTATACTTAAATCTTTAACAATTCCAAAAGGAAATAAATGAAAGCTTACACTCTAAAGGAAATATTTGTCAAAAGTTGGTGTAATAAAAATTTAGTATTGACCAACCAAGCTACATGAATAAATTAAAGCTGGTTGTATTTATAACACCTCATGTTTAACTTTTTATTTAGACCCTGAAAATTATATAATCATCCTTCATAAAAATTCAGGATGTGGAATTTATAAATACTAAACGATTCAAATACCTTAGTGTATGGATCAGATATAGCAAATTTATATAGGAGATAAGGGAATTGAATATATATATATATATATATATATATATATATATATATATATATACATACACCCAAATATAGGATTGGTATATAATACAGAATAAATTCCAATAACCCAAAATACTATTCTTAAAAGAGTGCTCAATACAGAGTAGGGCAAATATACTTTATTTGAAAATTATAACATAAACCTGTTATAAAATCACTACAAAAATAGCCATTTTGTTTCAACACTTCTGGTGTCTTATTAAGTGTTGGTGTTGAATTCTACATTCAGCACTATCACTTGATAAGACACCAGAAGTGTTGAAACAAAATGGCTATTTTAGTAGTGATTTTATTACATGTTTATGTTATAATTTTTGAATAAATTATATATATAGAGAGAGAGTTAAGGTAATAAACTCAAATTTCCATAATATTGGTTTTACTTAATTAGCTACTATATTTCCATAATATTCACTCCCCCCTCTAACTCGTCAAATGTATAACTAATTCTAATTTCTATATTCCTCTCTTTACATTATATTAATTATAATTTATAAACTTTCTCCTCAACTCTCTCTCTTTTAATCCCTTACATCCTTTTATCTATATATTTTAAAGTTATTTTTAAACCCCTTTTTATTCCTCTTTTAGTTTTAAATGAATATTTCGTTCTTCATATAACCCCAAATTAATAGTTTAATATTCAGATATAATTTTATAAAACTTCTTCCCTTTAAGACAAATACCTCCCCCTTGCTTGACCTCTGTCTTGTGCCTTTTGTCTGACTGAAACATTGAAATGGATAAATTCTGTATTAGTTTTTCTTTTTTATTATCATTATTATAGCTTTCACAGTTAAGTTTCTATTTCTGGCACAAACTCGGTTCACACCAGGGTTAAGACAAACAACCGATATCTTTGTCTGTCAAAATAGGGTATTCCCCACATGAGTTAATTTTGGATTTCATTGTTTATTTTCTATATATATTTAGAAAAAATGACAAACTGGAAAGTTTTTTTTTTTTTTTTTTTTTTTGTGACGCATTAGGATTTCATCAGATGCATCACAAAAAACCCATTGCCGTTTGTCATATTTTTTTAAAATACTGTTTGTTGATATGTAAAATTATATATTGTTATATCATATATATTAAACTGTTACATGCAAGTTACCACGACAAAAATTCATATTTGTTTCAACATCCAAAAATGTCTCGTCAGGCGGCTAACAATGAAATATTTATTGCTCTACTCTTGTATTGAGCCCTTCTTTAAATTAATGTTATGAATGTTTGAATTTATATTCTTTTACATTTGGATATATATATATATATATATATATATATATATATATATATATGTGTGTGTGTATATATATATATATATATATATATATATATATATATATATATATATATATATGGTGGACTCTCACATCATATTCAGCATAAGCAGTTCAGTTCCTAGGAACCGACAGCCAGACACCAGCACATATGATTTGATTATAGTCGTGAGGGCTTTGTGCAGAACCAACCACACTTTTTGAAGGGCCAAATACAGACCTAGTGCACTACGTGCCAGAACATTCCCAAACAATTCTCTGCTGGTTTTGAATTCAAGTTGTCCTTCTCCTAGCCCAGTTGCCATCCAAGACTATAGAACCCAGTCTGTCCTGCTATTTACCCATAGCTGAATTTATTTTCTTACATTTTATGAAACCATATCATATAAACATATTTTTTATTATTATTTCCATAGTGGAATCAATTTACAATGAATTTATAAACATTACTTAAAACAGGATTCCCCAACATTATTAACTTCTATAATATAGAATTTATTTTTATTTTTTCCTAGATATTCAAGATTTAGAATGCTTAATCTGTAGGAACATAAAAAAAAGATTATTTCTGGTCACAGTGCATATTGTTTCAACTTCAAATAAATTAAATTATATTGACAAATTTTCATCTGAAAACATAAAAGAAAAATAGAATGTAGTTTTATTATTTTTATGGATCTTTTTTCTTTCTCAGTAAATCAAGTCCAAACTCTTGTCTCTTGCTCTTTATTTTGCTGTTTCTTTATTTCTCTTCCCGCTGATAAATTTATTTGTTAATAGGATTTTGAATATTCAAACTCAATAAAATTCTTGCAATTCAGAAATTTTTCTCTTTATTCCTTTTTTGCTGTACACTTTAATCATTATCATGTTTTTTATCTGTTTATAAAATATCTAATCTTTTTCGTCGTGTGTGTGTGTGTTCTGCTATAATTTTTGGGAGGAAGAGAAGTAACTCTTTCTGCTAAAATTTTTATTTTCAAATTAGTAGAGATTTTATTTAAAAAGGCTTCTCTGCTTGGGTCTAAAAAAATCTGTCAGCTTATTTCACAAAATAACGACACAGATTATTAGCTGGAAATGTCATAAACAATATAAAAAATTTAATGTTTGTTTATTTTTGTGCAGATTTACACAAATTAAAAATACTTATAAATTCATAAAACAGTTTTCAATTTCTGTTTAGAAATATTTTTTAATTTTGTTTTTATATTTTGTCTGCTTTTTCTAAGAGCTTTTATTTTTAACTTTTATTTATTTTATAAATGTTATGGCATTCTTAATGAAATGTTTTCAAAAAGGCTAAATCTAAAAATGCAAGCAAAAATGAGTAACAATTCAAAACTTTTGAAAATTCTATAAACACAATGCCTTTTGATATTGGAGTTAATGCTACATTTTATTTCTTAACAAATTTCCATATTTATTTTACAACACATAAAAGTTTCTTTTTTTTTTTTTTTTTTTTGTTTTTTTTTTTTGGACTGGGTAATGCGATTTACATTTTAATTCTTCTTGTTTTATTCTTGTTTATTTCTTTTATTAAAGAATGCCAGTAACTTCAAAAGTGTCATTAAGTATTTTTCCTGCTTGTAGATGTAATTGCTTTTTGTTTTGTCTTTTCTGGGAGTAACTCTTTTTCAATATTTTATGTATTTTTCAGTCTTCATTGTTTTTGCTTTTTAACAGAACATTTTGACCAGTATATTCTCTGGCCTTCCTCGGGTATCATCTGTTCTTAACACTTTAATACTCAACTCTTTGATCCAGACAATTATTTGAATTTAAGAATAAAAGAAACCTTTGTAAAAAGAAAAACCACATACAGCTGCAGAAGTCCAATTGACCAAAACTTTGTTAAAACCAATAAAGACCAAAATCATAAAGAAAAAAAATATAAGTACAATAATTTCAATACCAATTATTGTATTGAATGAAACTAAATCTTATTTCTAAAATTTGTATAATCCAGGTTTTATTGATATTAGAATTTGTTTCTGTTTTTCATCTGAATCTTTCAGCGTTTCTCTGCAGGAAGAAATTTAAAAAAAAAAAAAAAGAAGATACTTTGTTTGTTCATGTAATTGTTTTTTCAGATGCGCTTTCTTGTGTCCATGGAATTGAACAAGTCACCTTGTTAGTTTGATTTTTTCTTTAGAATCATGAATCCGAGTTTTCAGTTGATGTTAATCTGTGGTAGTTATTGCTACTCAAGTGTTGCCTCTTCTTCTTCTTAGAACTGATGCAACCGATGCTGATTCAGAAGAGGAATATCCTGTGCAAGGTCCGATCAACAAAGAACCTGAGGAAAAACTATATCCTTACCAAAAGGAAAGTGGAATTCGCAAATTGTAAGTTTTTCTATAGCAACAGTAGTTTTTTTTTCCACTAGCAAGATAACCCCCACATTGCCTGGAATTTTTCCTAGGGAAACTAAAAAGAGTATTAGTCTGTATAAAATGAAATCCCTGAATTTAAATATATTAATACATTTGATCAAATCTCTCTCTCTCTCTCTCTTTTTTTATGAATGAATGCATTGATTTAATGTTTTAAAAAACAGATTTTTAATTAAAATACTGTGAAAAATAATTTTTACAGGTAAAATCAAATTGTATCTTTAATTATAACAGTCTTCCTATCAAGAGAAACTAAGTTGCTCCAAAAATGTAACTGATATTTTGTATTTTAAACCCAGGCAATGCAAAGACATCTTGACAGTTTCTACTTTGAAAATTTTATTTAAAACTAAATTGGTGTTGATGAAACTTCCTGAAAAAATGTACTTTTTTTTTTATTTTAAGAACTATAAACAAATTTTAAATTTTATTTGAAAAATACAAAGAAAATTTAAGATAATATTTTCTTTATTACTAACAAAATTACTGTTATAAAGATTTTTTTTCCTTTTGCTATTTTGAAAAATTCTTCCTATTAATAGGAATCTTCAAAAAGAAAATTTGGATTAAGTTACAGAATATATATTGTCAAGTTCCAGACATAACTTTCAAAAGACATCCATCCTGTTTTCAATGCCAAATGTGTATATATAAAAACGTCTGCAAAAGTTGATCCTTAGAACAAAATATATATATATATATATATACCTCAACATGCAGATTTACAATTTGATTTATAAAAAAAAATATATTGACAACAATATTACAATAATTTTTTTTTTTTTTTTTTTAACCTTGTTTAAATATAGGGTCATTAATTTTAAGTATTTTGTTTCAGGTAAAAAAAAAATTTACAGTGTGGAGCATTTAAGCACAATTGCTTCTATCACAAAACCATATTTTGTTACTGAAATTGCTTTTAACTCAGCCAGCCATGACACTGCTTGTTTTTTAGACTTTATCAGTACATTTTCATTAGGTTGTTTCACATGAAATAGTTGCTTATGGATGAAACACTACTTTTACATTTTGAAACCTAATGTTCTATCTTTTAATGGAAGTCTGCTCTTAGGGTCATAAGGGCTGCAACTATCACAGTAATGGGTGTGTCTAAGACTAAAGAGCCTGACAGAATACCTCCCTCTTCAGGCTGACATAGATCATAGCACCAACCAAAAAACAAATTTAGTTTTAAAATCATTCTCTATGTTCTCCTGGCTGCTTTGAAAAGGAAAATAAACGAAACATTTACAAACTTAGTTTTCTATCATTTTAATGTAACTGTTCTATTTGCCACATTTTTATTAAATTAATTCATGTGTCTGAAAAGTAGGGTCCAATATGGCACCTTGACAATCTCTTAGATCATGGGATCAACCAAATATATTTTTAGAATTATTCTGTACAGTTTTATTCCAATCTGGCATTTTCATGCAGATAAATGGCTTTGTACCTGTTACCATATGTGATGCAAAATATTTTGAGGTTTTAATCCAAGATTCACCAATCAGAGGTTATTATTCTGGCTTTCAGAGAATTTTTAATCATTAAATATAAGGAATTTTATTCATTTGCATTTATAAAAGATCATACCTATTATATATATATATATATATATATATATATATATATATATAAACCTAATATAGTAAATAATGTTTTCACTATCTGCCAATCATGGCACCTGTTGTAAACTTTCTTTAAAATTAAATACAATTATCTGCTTTTATAGAATGCAATTATAATTTTACCAGTAATAATTTTACCATTAATATCATTGATGCATTTTGAAGAGGCATTTTTATCTTGCTATGCATGATAATACTTTTATTTCTGACTTTTTGTCTTAGCTGTGAAAAGATGTTCAGAAGTTTCGGCACACCACTTTTATCCCAAAAGACTAATTGTGTAAATGCCATAGCTGGAATTGTTTGATAATTTAATGGAATGACCTGGGTGGGGACTTTAAAAAAAAAAAAAAAAAAAAGTAAGTATAACATTTTATAAAAAGCTGAATTAAACTAACATTCATCAATACTAATCGTTTAGAATAAATGAGTGTGTGTGTGTGTGTATATATATATATATATATATATATATATATATATATAAAACACACACAGCAAAAGTAAATAGACAGTTCTATTTTGTAACAAAAACTTTTATTCAAGAATTTAAATATGAACTTTCTATAATGGAGAGTTTAAAAAATTTTTTACTTATCAGATTTTCTCTTCTAGAAAATATGGTAAGCCTGCATTTAAAACATGAAACAAATCCCTTGCAGGAGATATTATTGATTTATCTAAAATGGCACCTGTATGTTCAATAGGATTTATATCAAGACATTGAGTGGCCAGTGCTCCAAATTGTTGATCACACAGTAAAATTAACCAGGACTCATTTGAAATTGATATTGTGCCTAAACTTCAAGTGTCTGTCCATTCATATCATTTTGTCCATTATTTACTCTGCTGAATTTTGACTAGTTTCAGAAAGAGACAAAAATAACTTGTGTGATACTTGAATGCATTCAGCTATGTCTTTTGCCTTGGAATAGGCATAGTTTTTCTCTATAATTTTGTTTCATTAAAAGAAAAAGAAAAAAAGATGTTTCTAATAGCCAAGTTCAATTTGTTTTGTCTTAATTATTAACAGTTGAAATAAATTTTCAGCTTTGATACAATTTGATGCTGGCTCATCCTATGTTTGAACTAACCAGCATTATGCATCTTTTAGAAATTTAACAATACCCTTGCTCCTGTGGCATGAGGCATTGTGAAATGAAATTACTTTTATTGTTTTATAGTAGATTAAGCAATTGTATAAAATAAGTGTCTATTTGCTTTCATTGTCTGCCTGTGTCATAAGGTCCACTGTGGTGGCTGAAATTGTATATTTCCTACCACCATCAGTGATTATTAGTGTTTGAAACCTGGTCAAAGCCAGGATTTCAAATGTCCATTCTCAAGACAGGCAGACTGTATTTCCATATGACAACACAAACTTCCTCTCTCCTATTTTCCTATAAAGCAACACAAACTTCCTCTCTCCTATTTTCCTATAAAGCAACACAAACTTCCTCTCTCCTATTTTCCCATAAAGCAACACAAATTTCCTCTCTCCTATTTTCCCATAAAGCAACACAAATTTCCTCTCTCCTATTTTCCCATAAAGCAACACAAATTTCCTCTCTCCTATTTTCCCATAAAAACAAATTTCCTCTCTCCAATTTTCCCTCTCTCAAATTTTCCTCCTATTTTCCCATAAAAGCAACACAAATTTCCTCTCTCCTATTTTCCCATAAAGCAACACAAATTTCCTCTCTCCTATTTTCCCATAAAGCAACACAAATTTCCTCTCTCCTATTTTCCCATAAAGCAACACAAATTTCCTCTTTCATTTCTTCCTGCTTATTTTTTTTCAAAAGATTAGACACTGGTGGAAAATAAAATTGCAACACTATGAGGGATCATACCAATTTTGGTCTGATTATAGTATATGGTTTCTGATAAATTATTCAGTTTTCAGTCATCTTGTGATGTAGTAACACTCATACCAGTATACTCTCTGTGCATGAATTTTACACTGTAATTGATGCTGCAATAAGATTCAGTGAAATAGTCCAATGTAACTAAGTGTTGTGCTACATTCTTTTATTCAATTAGAACCATTTGTGGACCTTTGATAGGCTAGATTTTAATTTCTGTGAATTGTTGCATGATACATTTGTAGTATTTTCATATTGGCAAAAGTAGTCAAATGAACATTCCTATACCAGTAGATTAGGTTCTGGATAACCATGTAATATAGATGCTTGCCAAGATTGACATGTTGTAAGAGCAGCAGAGGAAGATCACTCAGCATCCACAGCACAGATCAGTACAGGTATGTCAGCACAAATAGGACTACTGACATGCTTATTCTAGCCAGGTTTCCACCAATTATATCACAACATTCTCATGTAGATCTCCATGATTGTGAAAGGGTCACTCTCATCCAAGTGATAGTCATTTATATGTACAATATATACCTGGGAAGCAATATATTTCAGAGTCTATTTGCTGGCAATAGACACACCTAAAACTCGGGCCTCACCTTTGGCATATGTGGCAGGGACGTTGAACAACACTATGTATATCCAGAACATTGTTTAGTCCATTCTGCTGCCAACATGAAAGTGATTAGCTGTTCTAGCAGGATAGTGCCTGCCCATATGGTCCCTGTGATGCTCAAAATGCTCTACAAGATTCTAAGTGACTTCCTTGGCTAGCAAAATTACTAGAACTGTCTCCATTGAACATATATATGGGATATGCCTGAGTTGTTTAGTTAATTCAACCACAACTCTTGTATTGTGTCAATATATTCAAAAAGCATGAAATAACGTATGACTTCATAATATTCACCATTGTATGGATGCAAGACTACCAGGATAAACTGTGTATTAATATGGAGTCTGAATACTCTTGACAGATCCCTTAATTATAGCTACCTGTGCATGTAATCATTTATTGGAATGCAATTATATTAAGTTGAAACACATATTCATCATGTTGTAATTTTATTTTCCTCTCAATTTTTATATATGCAGGATGCGATGGATAAATTGACTAAATTACACAAAAATGAAAATAACACTGAAATCTCATTTTAACAGATATACTTACCAAAATTGCACAAAAATATCTTGAAATACTAACTACACTGAATAATAATACTGAAATACACAGCCTCCGGATAACTTCAGAATCTCTTGCAACTCTTCTGGATGGTCTCTTTAAGTTTGTGAATGCTGCCATAATCCTTGCCTTCAGTTCATCTTTGGTATTACAAGGAGTTTTGATGGTCTCTTGCTCAACTGCACCTCATGCATAATAACCAAGAGGGTTTGCAGTCTGGGGAGTTAGGTGGCCAAATATAAGGGATGATGTCATCACAGAAATTGTTTGACAGTCATGACTGGGTTCTCCTGCTTGTGTGGCATGGTGCAGAGTTCTGTTGCAACCACTCTCTTGACCCAGGGCAGCACTACATCCTCGAGGCACTTGATGTAGGCCTCTATTTTGAGTCTGAGACCCTATGAAAAGATGAATGGAGGTATGACATCACCATCACTTGTGATCAACTCCAAACACCTTTGTAATCACCATTAGATTCATTCAACTCTTTCTGAATCCTCTGCACTTTCCTCAAATTGACACCCAAACACTCTGAAATGTTCATATTGGAGCTTCCATTGTGAATATCAAGCGGTATAGCATGCCATCCTCAAATTTCTGAAATTGTGAATTGCGTCTACTACCTTCTATACTCTACAGTTGACAAAATCAAAAACAATGTGCATGCATGGAATTAAAAATATAAAATGGTGACAATTTACCCATCGCATCCTGTGTGTGTGTGTGTGTATATATATATATATATATATATATATATATATATATATATACGTACACACACACACATTGAGGAGGGGGACAAATATTTGTACACATACAAATTTTTAATTTATTATATTTCCAACTAATGAATAAACTTATTTTTCATATAATTAACTGTACACAGATGCATAATAACTAAATATGCATAGAAAACAGAAACAAATTTGATTTAATAGAAATAAATCCCATTTATCTATTTTAATGGGTGAAAAAAGTATACATACAATGAAATTTTAAAACTTTTAAATTTCTTTAATACTCTAGATTATTCAAGTGGAATATTCTATAATGTTCCAGTATCAGTAGTTGTTTTTAGCCTAAAAAAATACTAACAGAACATTCTGTAATTGATATTTGTGCAAGAAGGTTATCATCATGGCAAGAGGTCAAGAATTGACGAATTTGCAAAAAGAATTAATTGTTAAGCTCTGGAAAGGAGGTAAACATTACAGGAAAATCTCAGACAACCTGAATATTCCATTTACCACCATTAGTTCATTCATTGAAAGGTATAAAAAAAACTCAAAACTGTTGAAAACCAAATAACAGATGCTCCATGTAAGATTTCTTCAACATCTTTGAGGAAATTAATGCATCAAATTAAACAAAATCCAATGGTTACTCATCAAGAGTTACAGGATGATTTACTTTTGTCTGGAATCTGTGTCACTAAACTGACAATAAGCAATGAAATTCATAGGAACAATCTAAAGTTACACTTCCCGCAGAAAACTCTACTGCTATAGAAAAGACACAGAGATGCCAGTTTAAAATTCGTTTGTGAACATAAGGATAAAGAAAAATTATATTGGGAAAGAGTATTATGGACAGACGAAACCAAAATTGAGTTGTTTGGACATAATTTTAGAAATCATGTATGGAGGAAAGATGGTGATGCCTTGCAAACAGTGAAATTTGGTTGTGGCAGCATCATGGTTGGGAATGTTTTTCTGCAAAAGATACTAGTAACATATCAGTTATAGATGGTAAAATGAATGCTGCAGCATATCAAAATATTTTGGAAGCAAATTTAATGATTTCAGTTGAAAATCTTGAACTTCCTCCTGATTGGATCTTCCAACAAGATAATGATCCTAAGAACGCTGCAAAATCTACAAAGAAATCGCTCGCTGAAAATAATGTAAATATTTTGAAGTGACCCAGTCAGTCCCCAGATGTAAATTCAGTCGAGAATCTGTGGCGTTATTTTAAAATTCAAATCTAATTGAGAGCTCCAACAAACATCCCAGACCTGAAGACCATATGCGAAGAAGAATGGAACAAAATACCAACTAAAATTTGCAAATTATTGAGAACTACAAGAAAAGGTTGGTTGCTGTAGAAATGAATAATGGCTATTCTACAAAGTATTAAATGAAGATAATGTATTCTTTTTTGTATTGTATGAATACTTTTTTCACTCATTAAAATGGATAAATGGCATTTATTTCTATTAAATCAAAATTTTTTGTTTTCAAAATTTGTCAGTTG